AGTAGCGCAGGGGTAAACCGTCCATGGGTGTGGATGATGGTAGCGCAGGGGTAAACCGTCCGCGGGTGTGGATGACAGTAGCGCAGGGGTAAACCGTCCATGGGTGTGGATGACAGTAGCACAGGGGGACTGTCCATGGGTGTGGATGACAGTAGCGCAGGGGTAAACCGTCCGCGTGTGCGGATGACAGTAGCGGCCTACCTGGTCACGTCATTGATCAGCCGCGTCTGCAGGAGCAGGTTTCTCTGGGGCAGTAAGTTGTCACAGATCAGGTTCTGGTTGGCTCTCATGGCAACCCCGTTGCAGAGACAGAGGGAGCACAGGACATCCAGAACCTGTAGCAGAACATACCGGACACACCTCAGGCCTTCAGGAGGGCGCCGTGGGCAGGCCCCGACCGCCGGGGACAGAGGCAGCGGGGTGAGACCGGAGGGTGGGGGATGGGTCAGGGACAGGGCAGCCTCACCTGCTGCCTCCCACGGGAAGCGAGTCTGCGCTCCCATCCCCCCCCCACTCCACATGCTACCTGCATGCTGTCATTGTTCTCCGGCAGCCGGCAGGAGCCTAGACCCGGAAGGCGCAGTGTGGAGCGGGGCCGTCTGAGGATTCCCCAAAAGCTCCGTCCTCTAGCCCAGCCCCGACTGCCCGGCAGATGGAGGTGACCCTGTTCCCCGACAGCTCCGTCCTCTAGGCCAGCCCCGGCAGATGGGGGTGACCCTGTGGTGCAGGAACCCCCGCTTCCCTTCACCACGGTCCCTGCATGCAAAAGGCTCACTACGTTCAGTGAGGGCTCCCAAGCCTGCGGCGATACTTCAGAACACACAAGATGCCCTTAGATTCTGGGAAGTCGGTATTCAAAACGGGAGGCCCGTGAACCCGAGAGCCTTGTCACCTCTCCGTGCCCCTTTCCAGTTGTCTGGGATGGAGGGCAGTCCTGGCCACCACCTCCCGCCCTGCCCCGTGCGTCACATGCTCTGTCCTTCAGATGTTCTGTTGGCACAGTGGCACAGGCCAGGTGCTGGTCCTCTCTCCCCCAGAGGGAGGAAGGCCCCAGCAGGAGTCAGTAAACAACAGCGGTGTGTCCAGGCCGGCCGGCGCGTGGCCCGGGGGGAGCCGCTGAGCGTCAGTCTTTCAAAGCGGCCACCAAAGACTCAGGGCTTACTGGGGTAGCTTTAGGGTGCTGATGGCATTTGTGTCCATGGTTCTCACAAAGTGATTTCCTACCCGACTCCCTGAGTGTCAACTTCATTCCAGATAAATGCAAAGCACGTTTACGGGAGAAGCAGCGAAGAGCCCCATAGCTGTGTGATGAAGAGCTCCTGCCACGAACACCCCACGAACGGTATCGACTGCGGAGATCTGAAATCTGGAGGGTCATCTCTCACTCTGTGGCGGGAAATTAAGTGCATTTCATCTGGCCTTTTGCACATTTTCCTGTTTTGCCTGGAAGTGACAGCCACGGGAGCTTCACTGTCACCACCAGGAGAAACGCAGAGCTAATCCCCACACAACAGGACAAGAGCAGGGAAAGCGTTGCCCAAAACACCCACCCGAACAGAGTGGCGCCTCACCCAAGCCAGCAGCACGGACTCACAGCTGACGCGTTAAAAGGCATTCCTTTGGGAAAACCAGGGAACTCGTTTTGTCACTTTTGTAAGAAAGAAAAAAAACACACAGGATGCAGAGTGTGGGGGAGGAGTAGCCCAGAGACGCCGAGGGTCCCCAGGCCAGCTCAGCAGCCTCTGGGAAGGCCGGTGGACAGGCAGGCTCTGCGGTGACCCCACCCGGAGGAAACCTTCCCCGGAGCCCACAAGGACGGACGGACGCACTCCACGGGGTCACGGCCCAGGGGACGCTGGCGAAGGTGATGTGCATCACTTCTCGGCAGTTCTAGGAGCGCTTGCTTTTCATACCCCTCCCGCCTTCATCGCAGGGCCATCTCTGAATTCTCTGTGGCGCGCTCCCAGGCTATGTAAGGCAGACACTCACACACTGGTCATGACGCGGGGTTTCCACTCCAAGGAGTTCTGCATTTCAGTCATTATAAGAACAAAATAACATACATCCGCAGGATAGCCGGTCTCCAGACTTCAGCGTGAGAAACACTGGGAAGGTGACGTTTCTGGTGGAGCCTGCCATCACTGAGCCATTTGGCCCCTGGGAACTTTCTTAACGTCAAGGGTCCCTTATCTGGTCGTCTTCTGTCTCCGCTGAGTGGGAACAATGAGGATGCTGCTTCGGAGGGGCTGCACGTGAACACCGGGAGCGGCACCCAGAAGAGGCTAAGACCAACGCCAGCCATCAGCATCCCTGCCTCTGGCAAATGGCTTCTGATGCCGTTCAGTGTCTCTAGAGTCCTGTGCATTTTGAGTCATTATCTTCATGGAAACTAAGCGGATGGGTCAGAATTTCCTGAAAATCTGGGGCTACAGACCATACAGCAGCTTGTATAGCAAAATGGTTCCTTGACGTATCTGTTTTTGCTTTTTAAAAGTATTTATTATTATCACTATTACTATTATCATCTATACGTTGTTGTACAAAAAAGTTCAATTCAACATGATCCTTGACATTTTCTATGCAAAGGTGAAGTACTGGGGCCAAGCCTGGCCTGTACTCAGCACATTTTTCTGCAAAATGAACAGAAGATGACTTGGTCCGGGTCTTCTCTTTGAAAATACATCAGTACAGTTGATTAATCTCTACAAGATGGTGGGAATTCATAGCAAAGCCAAACTGGTTCAACTGTCAAACTTTATTCAGGAGTGCCTTTATTCTAGAGGAATAAAAGGACTTTTACTGCCGGGTGCCAGTGGCTCACGCCTGTCATCCTAACTACTCAGAAGGCGGAGATCTGAGGATCGCGGTTCAAAGCCAGCCCGGGCAGGAACGTCTGTGAGACTCTTATCTCCAATTAACCACTAGAGAACCAGAAGTGGCGCTGTGGCTCAAGCGGTAGAGCGCTCACCTTGAGCTGAAGAGCTGAGGGACAGCGCCCAGGCCCAGAGTTCAAGCCCCACGACCGACAGAAAAAAGAAAAAAAGGCCTTTTACTGGCCCACCTGGGTAAGTTGGCTAATCAAGCATTGCTTTCCTCTAGCTAACGAGGCCTCGGCGCGCTCAGAAGTTGTTCCAGCAGCAATGAGGATGGGACTGGACAGACTAGCAGTTAACTTGCCACCAAGTCACACCCGTTCAATGGTTTCCACGGCTACAAGAAGCCCTTAGAAGCTGGGTAGCTATGAAGTGTGCTGGGCAGCATCACAGAGAAGGCTCTGGAATAACACATCAAGACCTACCCTTCTTCAAAGGGTCTCTCTAACATCCGTACATGGACCGTGGCTAGTACCATGTGCTTCTTGTGGGATTATCCATCATTTCAACTGTATTTTTCAGACAGGGAAACATGTAATGGAACAGAGCAAACTGAGACTGAGGCTGGGGTCAGGCCTGCTTTTGATTTACCACATTTGAGAAAGCAATTACAGACCCCACCTATTTCTTTCTCTTCTTGGCCAAGCAACGTCACAGATGCTAAGGACCGTGGCTTTGCTGCTCTCTGTGGAGGCTGCATGTGGTGTAGTCGGTACTCTACAAGGCTCCTTCTCCGGGACTCGTTGACCGTGGGTCCAGCACGCAGCGTCGTTCACAGTCTGCAGAAGCACAGCTGCTGTCCCACATGCCCCGCCTTGCCGCGGTCCGTGGACCGGACACCCCGCCCTCTGAGAACCTTCCTGACTGCTTACAGCAGCCTCCACCTGTGCTGAGGATCTGAAGGTCAGGATGGAAAAACACGTCGTGGATTTCTTCCCACAGATCCTTGTTTCTTAGCAGTAGGATTTCACGGCGATAATGAAACTATAAGAGACCTAAAAATACTGATACAGCACCCCCTCTTTGTGGAATGTTCTGGTTTTACTGATGAAATAATAGACTCAGAGTCTCACGGAAGTGTGTATCAAATGAAAAGTTGGCGTCTTTGGTCCCGTTTGATAATGCTGAGGGGTCTTTTGTTTTGTTTTGTTTTCTTACCTTTGCTTGGTTTGACTCATTAAAATGAGTTTCATTTAACCGCAAGGCTTGCTGTTTTAAATCTGATTTTTGCATATCTGCTCTGCATAGCTGAGGAAGACGGATTTCCTGAGGTGGGAACTGTCTTGTGGCCCTGGTGTCGGGGGCGCAGCGGAGTGACCGATCGCGAGCTCTGCGTTAAGGTAATGACAGTGGACACAGCTTGGAAGCCAGTGGGCACACAGGACACCATCTCAGACCTGACAGGGCTGTCCTGGAGCGTGTTTATAGGCAAAGAAGGTCTTTTGGAACAAATCCTCAGGCCCTGGGTGTCATACGGGAAGTATCAGGGAGGGAAAGGCAAGGAAAACAGCCATACCCACCTTGTGGTTCCGACCATGTTTATCCAACAGGGAGATGATGGACTTGATGTGTCCTTCAGCTATCAGATTTAAGGCTTCCGGGCTTTCGATCAAAATGCAGTGCAAGACCTCCAAGATACCTACGTGAGTAACACAAAGATCATTGGGACGTTAAATCACCTGCAGAACTGACCATCACTAGAAACCCAGGGGGGACGCCATTATCCCGAGGGGACAATGCTAGAGGAGAGACGCAAGCATCATCTCAGGCAGACTTCGGGAGCCCTGAGGGCTAGTCTATAATTTAGAGTTAATTCAATACTATCTCTCTTTGTCTGTTAAAACACACAGAAGGGCTCAGAGCTGGTGGCTCCTAACTGCAATCCAAGCGGCTCAGGAGGCTGGGATCTGAGGACTGCAGTTCAAACCCAGCCCAGACATGGAAGTCTGTGAGACTCTAACAAACTCTAACCAACTAAAAAGCACAGGGACAGTGGCCAGGTCCTGAGCTTAAGCCCCAGAACCAGAAATGTGCACGTGCGCATACCCACACACACCCCCCAACGGCCTCCCCCCCAATTATATATTCTATACCGTGCTGGTCTCTGGGCTTGAACACGGCCTGGGTGCTGTCCCTGAACTTGAGTCATAGCTCCACAGCTGTCTGTGTGGTTTACTGGAGTTATGAGTTTTATATACTTTCCTTTCCAGGCTGGCTTTGAACTATGATTCTTAGATCTCGGCCTCCGGAGTAGCTAGGGTAACAGGTGATAACAGGCATCTAGCAAAGAAAACAACTCTATTCTTTTTAAATCAGGCTTTGTATAACTGATCTTGGAATATAGTGTACAAGGAGAGCAGGAAAGACATGGAGAGGCGGGTGCTCCTGGCCCGTGTGTGTGGATGCGCTCGCGCTCTGTCTCTGAGGAACGCTGTGTGTGGATGCGCCCGCTCTCTGTCTCTGTCTCTGTGGAACGCTGTGTGTGGATGCGCCCTCTCTCTGCCTCTACCTCTGAGGAACGCACCCACACTTCTCCACCCTGCAGGATGCCCACACCTGTCACGAGCGTCGTCCTTCGGAGGCCAATGGCTGATCCCTGACAACAATGAGCACAGTGTCTCCACTTCTCTGCGTCATCAAGACGGTTTTGACGTTACGTGAAGGGGATCTGGGTAAGTGAGAATCATTGTCTCTTGTTCCATATTTGCCCTTGAACTTTGCTTCTAACTGAATGATGAATACCAGGGGCACCAAGGAGTCACCAGGAGTCTGGGATTCCTAGGTAGGGGTTTGTAAAGGGCTCAGGGGGTGAAGAGGAAGGTTCAACCTGCGGACGGGAAGAAACACCGAGAATGGGGTGAGGGAAGGGGAGTAATGGTGAAGCGCAGCGCATTGTGTTGTAAGAGACTCCTGAAGGCTTCTAGGTAACAAGGCAGCAGAGGAGATGGAGAAGGAGAACAGAAGGCCCATTGGATTGAGGTACACCATACGCACGTGTGAAAGGTCATGGTGAAATCCTTTGCGTGATTCACAGACACTAAAAATAAGTGGTAGGAAAGCAAGACAGGGTGTCAGGGGAGAGGGGAGTCAATCAGAGGAGGCGAACAGCAGTGGAGATGCGTCAGTGAGGGCAGGGATGCGGGGGACTTGGTCAGGACGCGCTGTGCGCAGGTAGGAATGTCACAATGAGACCCTCGCGCAATTCACTTATGCCAGTGCAAATGCAAAGACAAGACCTGCAGGGTCAGAGTTTGAGCTGTCAGCAAAGAACGCGTCAGGGAGCCCGGAACTTTCTCTTTGTTGCAGCAATGGTTTGCGAATTATTGGCAGTCTGCTGGAAGATTCAAAACACACTTTGCTCGTTATCGTGCTCTGTCAATTCTCACCTGAGGAAGATTCCAGCCTGTCCAGTTTGCTGATGAGCCAGTCGAGGTTGGTGGAGAACTGTGCACAGTTGTTTCTGTTCCCACGAATGAGAGCGGCTGCAAACGAGTGGAGGTTTGAGGGTGTTGGGCCAGGACACGATGCGGGAGAGGGCAGGGGAGGCTGCCCAGTCCCCGGGGCGGCCCGGGCTGCCTGCCTTCCAGAGACAGGTCAAGGGGGGAAAACACCTGCTAATCCACTCACAGGACATCTGCCTGGCCACGAGTGAAGAATACATCCCCTTGGGATGTCTTCTTAAGTCTTGCTAGAAAAGATGGTGCAGGATGTCTATGTCTTGCCTTTCTCTATTCTACGATGATAAAATAAGCAACAGGCTATGACTCCCAAGTGGACTTGCAGAAGGGCCAGGCGTAGGAGCGCAGCAACCCTCACAGTCTAACGGATTGTTCTGAGAAGACGTTAGAACTGGAAGGCTCTGTAAAGAGGCTTTACCCTCGCTCCCTCAGGAGCTGAGGGTCAGAAAGTATTGGTGTTAAAGAGTTTCACACGTAGTTTTGGTAAAAGTGGTCACCATCTACTACTTGCTGCTGACTTCTGCTCTAACCTGGAAAGTGTAGTCAGCTGCGGACTAGCTCGGGTGAATGGCGGGCTAGTCAGATGGCTGGAGGGTACTGTGGGTTGGCAGGTGGCCCCCCAAGCCCTCCGAAAGCATGCTGGGGAAGAGGGCTGCGCTGTGCTCACCTAGCAGCTTGTACAGGAGGTTTAGCACTTCTTTCCAAGCCAGGCTGCTCTCTTCCCTTGCGAGTCCTGCAAAGTGTGCCACGCTGTTGTAGACATTCAAGCGGTCGATGCAATTCAACACGAGGGCCAACATTCCCTGAGGAGGAGAGTTGAGGAAAGGTCAATGTTCTTGATGAAGATGCTGGCCTGACTTCCCTCTGTTTTCCCCCTCCACTTGCTTCAGTGTTAAAATGCAAATAGGTGTTCCTGGTGCCAGCTGAATTCTTCTTCCCCCAAAGAGACAAACTACCCATCGTTATGCCCCAGAGACCTGCGCAGCACAGGCTGGGGGGCGAGTCAGCGTCCCTTCGGGCAGGGGTGCGCTCCGCACCGCGTTTCACGTGATCTGAGGAGCCCGACGCGTCCCAAACCTTGCTTTCCATCTGCCATGAAGAAATCCTGACTCACCCACCAACAGCTCTGGATAGAATACCACTCTTTCTCTTAAATCACTAGTAAGTTCAAGAAACTGCATTCAAATGCAAAGGACAACTGTTCTTTGTTCCTCCTCCCCAGAGAAAATAAAACCTGGCCACTCCTTAGGCAACGTCCGCCAGCTGTGTTATCCCACGCCTACCAAGGCTTGGCGCGCAGAGGAAGCACTCCCAACCGCCCCGTGCGAAAGCACAGCGTGCTGGAGCATCCGCCTCGCTTAGACCGGAGACTGAGCCGGGAAGGGATGTCCCACACGGGAGCTTCGCCTCGCCCCAGGCATGAAGGGTGCAGGTGTCAACCACCGTGTGTGAGCACCAGGTCTGGAGAGGGCTCGTCACACATCCCAGGTCCCACAGCGCCCGGAGTGGCGCTGGAACTGGGCTCCAGTTGATGTTTTCCCAGGCAAGCTCTAACACCAGACCTCAGTGTGCCCGAACCTTTCACACCAGGGCTCAGACATTTCCAGTACGGCAGGGGGGTAGGTATTTGTATCCTTCAAACAGATTTTCTAGAGATCACAGCCAATGCTGCGCCAGGACAGCTAATTTGCTGGCATGTATTTGGGGCACACACGTGGCCCGGAAGCGTTAACACTCCACCGGTATGGAGGAGTGAGAATGTGGAGGAGAGGGTGAACGCTTCCAAGTGTGCTGTGTCCATGTGTGGAAACACTGTCTTCATATGACAAACGTATGCTTGCTCAAACACAGATACATACGTGTGCCAGCCCTGGCCCGTGTCGTCAGGGGCAGTGGGAGGGATCATCCAGCCCCCCCCTCCCCGTGCCCGGGCTCGCTCATCCACATCGGCATCTGCAGACGAGGCTCAGGCTATGCTGGCTCTGTACGCGCCTTCGCCCTCCCTTTGCTCCGACTTACCTCTTCTTTGAAGAGGTTCTGTCTGTTTTTGAGGGAGCGAAGCTTGTTCTGCTTCTCTTCGTGCCGAAGCCCCTCCTCCGGAGGCTCGAAGTAGGCAATCAAGTCCTGTAAGGTCTGCAGGACCTCCTCTACCGGCAGGGCGATGGCGGCGGCGGCCGTGCGGTTATTTCCACTGAACACCAGGAGGAGGCGTGGCTCAGGATGGGGCCACGGCAGGCCGGCCCTGCCCCTTCCCACAAGCCTCACCCTGAACACAGGGTGTCAGCCCGCATGGAGTAGCCGAGGCCAAGACGCAGACGCAGCCTTAAAGCCATTTCAGAAACACAGGGAAGCAATGATAACATTGGCTAAAGTTTCTGCCATCTCTAGCATTTCCCATTAAGTAGGTGTTTTCTACTGTCTAATGGCGACCTCCCTGCCATCTGTCCACCCAGCCAGGGTCGTCACGACGGTAACGTGTATGTGAAGCACACGGACCTCTGTCACACTCACCTTGTAAACCAAACATTTATAAGATGACAGCTTCTTGGGACAGATTAAACGTCAGGCCGGGTTTCTATCCCTGGTCACCTCCCGTGATCGTTACCAGTGTCTCCTGACTGTGCCCAAAGGTCTGCGCGTGGTGGTCTCTTCTCCCTGTGTTCGTGATCTCTATCACTGTCTCTGACTCTGTCCCCAAAGGTCTGCGTGTGGTGTTCTCTTCTTGTGTTCAGTGTGTGTATGCAGAGTCCCATTTACTCTTACTTTACTTTTCCCTCATCAGTCTATCAAAACCTCTCCCCCTGACTCCATTTGTTGTTGTTGTTTTGCCGGTCATAGGGCTTGAACTGTGGGCCTGGATGCTGACCCTGAGATTCTTTTTGTTCTAGGCTAGTGTTCTACCACTTGAGCCACAGCACCACTTTTGGCTTGAGTGGTTTATTGGAGATAAGAGTCTCATGGACTTTCTTGCCTGGGCCGGCTTTGAACCGTGATCCTCGGATCTCAGCCTCCTGAGCAGCTGGGATGACAGGCGTGAGCCACGGGTGCCTGGCAGGTCTATTTCTTTTATGTGCGCATCTTCCTACTCCAGTTAATCTGTCCTATCCCTGCCTCTCTGCTGCGGTATTCCTAGCCTCTGTGAATCTCTGTGTCTTAGAATTCTTTTTCAGGTTTAATTTACCAAAACCTTTGTAATGACATCCTTTTAACAGAGATCAGAAAACTCCCGTAAGTAACCAAATGAACCTTCATTTTCCCATCCAATGGAGGGTACACCCATGGATTTCTTAAGAGAACAAAGAAGGGGAGGAAAAAAGGTCCCAGTCTTGTGGAATTCTGGAGCCACGGGGAATTGTATGGATATGCAAATAACAACTTACGTGTTTGGTGCACATACAGGGCAGTTGGTTTGTCAACTGCTCTTTTATTTTTATTTGGACACAAGCTTAGAAAAGGTAGTTTCTATGCTTTAGCACAAATACTAAATCAGCTCTGCAGATAGTCAAGGAATACGGTAATAAATGTAATTTGTTTTTATAACAGCAAACCATTTGATGGAGGAATTTTTAGTTCAAAAGAGCAGAAACTGAAGTTCACCGAGTTTTCAGGGTAACTCTCCCCAGTGAGCCTCAGAGCCAGGATATGAACTAGTTTTTCTCTACCTTTTAACACTTTACCTTTTCTTTTCTCTTCCATTCTAGAACTGGGGCTTGAATACAGGGTCTGGCGCAGTCTCTATTTCCTTGAGCTCCACTTCTAACTTTTTTACTATTTAATTGGAGATAAGAGTTTCACAGACTTTCCTGCCTCGGCTGGATTCAGATGGTCACCTTCAGATCTCAGCCTCCCGAGTAGACAGGATTATGGATGTGAACTGCTGGCGCCTGGCTAGCTCACATATCTTAACGTTAGATGGATTCTCTCTTCTGAATGCCCAGGGTAGACTATAATGCATACACTAGGCATCCTGAGAAAGCTCTTCATGACCTGGTCCCAGGCGCCGCTCTAGCCTTGTCCGAGTGCCTCCTTCCACATCCCAGGCGCCGCTCTAGCCTTGTCCGAGTACCTCCTTCCACACCGGTACCGGATGAGTCCTAGCTATCCCTGACTGTATGGTGGAATCTCCACACCCTGTGACCTGCCGTTTTCTTTTCTTGAAGATCGTCCTTGTCTCTGCTCAGCCCTGCGCTGTCCCCAGGCTCAACAAGGAGCCATTTCTCCTGGGAAATGTTCTTTGTTTCCCCTGGAATAGCTTAAGGGTCCTCTTGTGTTTCCATCAAGCTTTTGGCTATGGCCACTGCAGCCCTGCTTACTGTATTTACAGTAACTTTTTTTTTTTTTTTGGTTGGTTGTGGGGCCTGAACTCTGGGCCTGGGCGTCGTCCCTCAGCTCTTCAGCACAAGGCAAGCGCTCTACCACTTGAGCCACAGCGCCACTTCTGGTTTTCTGGTGGTTTAGTGGAGATAAGAGTTTCATGGACTTTCTTGCCTGGGCTGGTTTTGAACCGCGATCCTCAGATCTCCGCCTCCTGAGTAGCTAGGATGACAGGCGTGAGCCACCGGCGCCCGGCTGGTAACTTTCATTTTGTACCAAAAAGTTTCCAAGTTCCTTCCATGAGGGCAAACCAACTAGGTCTGCAAGCTCTTTACAGTCAGAGCTGCACCACTCCTCCATCGGAGTTCAGCTTCTAGGTGTACCTGACACACGGTATGTTCTCAGAATGTGCTTGAGAACCTGCCTACCCGGGATATCACTGGACCTGGAGACAGTGGAGGGAAGGTGCAGCCTGGCTTCTGGTTGACTTGCCATGTATTCCCTTTGCAAGAGAGAGTGGATCTAACAAGGAGCCGAGTTTAAGCTCTTTACTCCAAGTTAATGGCTTTTTAAACTTTATCACACCTGGGCAACCCATGAGGGGCCTATAAAAATGCGATCATGGTATCTCAGGCCCAGGATGTCTCTTCAGTATGTCTTGGGTGAAACCTGGCCGTGTGCAGTTTTAATAAGTTCGCAAGGGATACCGTGTGCTGGCCCACTACACATTTTAAGAACACGAGGGATACACTAAAGCAACTAACGAGAGAAGGAATCTGAGTCCCAGGAACTGCGCTATCTATTTTCCCAGAACCACCTGTCTATATTACTAATGGAAATAAGAGCCAAGGTTTATTCTGCACAATAACAGTGTAGCCTACACCGTGATTAAGACTGCAGCATTTCAACTGCAAAAAACTTCTAATTTCGTGCCAGTTCATATATACAATATATACCTCCTTGGAGCCTCAAGGTTGAGACCGGCTTGGCTGTTTCCAACAGAAACGTCATAGTAAGCGATGGAAACAAGGCTGGGCTGTGTTTTGGCAACAGGATTAGGCTGGAGGGGTCATCAGCCAAGCGGGCGGCTCAGCTGCTTTTCCCAGTTAAACACCGGGAACCGCCAAGGAACAGGCCAGAAACAGTGACCTAAGGCTTCCACTGTGTATCCAACTTCACCCAGACCATTGCAACACCTGAGTGCGATACAGAAACCCCTTCTAAGCCCTTCTAAGTGAGCTGTCTATGCTTTCCTGTGTACACATGAATACAGAGGGACGTAACGAACTTGAGTTTCAAGACCTCCGCCACTGATAGCACCATCTATAACCCATCTAATGGGGCGTGGGTGTGCGCTGGGCACAGAGAAGCTGGTACGAGATCAGCCACGCGGGAATTAAATTTCAGTCCCCAGCCCTCTCTGGTGAAATTCTTTGCTGGTGTTCAGTTATTTCTGGAAAGCACTCAAGAGTATCAAAACAAAGTGGACAAGGGTTGGAAGGCCAGGAGGAGAAAGGGCAAGCAAAGGAAGGTGCTAGCGTACCTGAGACACTGGCTGAATAAGGCCGTTGTGTTCCGGATGATCCGGGCAGCCCGGGACTCCTCACGCTGGCATCTCTGCAGCGTCAGCCCGTCGTCCATGTGGCCTTCCTGGTGGAGGATAACCTACCCCAGGCAGGAAGGCAGGTCCAAGTTATACATCACGCCGCCGCTTCCCACACCAAGCCCCCGCCACCCTGCGAAGGGGACATCGACCAAGTTATTTCACTCTGTGTCCCACGGCTGCCACACGAATCACTCCTGAGACACGCTTCTGATGAAAATGCCATCTATGTGTCATCACGGCGCCAGCTACCGTCAGTTCCTTGGACCCAGATGGCCAATTTGAAGGGCTAACAACTTCCTTATGATAGATTTTTCTCCTAAGATGAACACACAGCCTCATCTCCAGAGATGGAAAAAGTCACTCTGTCCAGAGCCTTTGCTCCAGATACATGTCAGGAAGGAACAATTTAAAGCAAACTCCTGGGAGAAGGTTTGGACTGCTCTACCAAGGGACAAGTTCTCTGGGTTAGTTAACTCTAAGACAGCAGAACACAGCCCCAAACAGTAACTTAATGGGACTTAAACCACAGGCTCTGGCATCGCTGGCAATTTCAGTCTTGCTGTGCTATTTCTTCGCTGTGTGACTTTGGACGAGTTACTTAACCTCTCCTTGCTTCACCTTCACTAGTTCCAACTGGACGTATGTTAGAGAACTGTCTGGATGTTTAGATGAGCCATTGCTTCAGTGGTTCCTGGATGTAAGAGGTGCTGGAGGAACGTTGAGGAGAGGAGGCGGTGTGTTAGTCCCTTTGAACAGTTATCAAGAAGCTAAGTTATTATGGACCGCTGAGGAGAGGATAACACAGCTCTGGAGTGGAATGAAGGTCATTCCCTTTAAACGGTCAAGCATCGACACTGGGCCCCGTCAAAGCCTGACTCACGCTCCCGGGCACGGTCTCTCCTCGGTGGAAGTGAGCTGCGTCCAGTTGTAGATCTATGCATCAATATCTTCTAACCACATGGTGCCAGAAGACACCTTCAGAAAGGGATGTGGGGTTTCTCTCAGGGTTAGCATGAAGAAGCTTTCTCATTTCATTCTCATGTTTTGAAAGCATGTCTGATATAACGAATTCACACGGAAGTACAATGTAGGCTGCAGAAGCTCGGGGGTGCGTTCCCATCTTTCAGCTTGAAGCATGAGCAAAGAGGGCTTCACAACTGTTAGAAAACATGACATCTAGCACTCTACTGCCACTATGTATACTTCAAACAGCACAGATGACGATTATGGTTTAGATATGAAGCACTGCTCCAAAAGGCTCAAGTGTTGAACTAGTTTCCAGGTAGCTGGAGGAAGCCGATCACCCCAGGTGTGTCCTTGGGGTCTACATCTTACCCCAAGCACTTCCTGTATTCTTTCTCTGCTTCCCGTCCACTCTGAGCTAAAGAAGCCTCTTCATGACCTGCCCCTGCTGCTCTGATGCTCTGCCTCTGTTCCATGGACTGAACCCTTTGAAACCACGGACCACAAGTTTTCAGCGTTTAGGTTGATCTTTAGGGCAGTACAGTCACGGCTGTGCTCACATAACAAACACACTGACAGTAAGTATGATCGGTCTCTCCAGCATGGCAGAGAGAATCCAGGACCTCATTCCCTCTTCTGTAAATCAGAAAAATTGTGGTGAGTTCACCGTGGCATACTGATATTCTGAGTGTCCTTGTTGTTGAAACCTTCCATGATTGGTGGTTGTTTGCTTGCTCAGGTTTGTATTTTTCCCATCCTTTTTAGTTGATTTCAGAAGAAAGGTTGGGCTACTCTGTGGACCCTCTCCGTCTATTTTCTACCTCTTCTTCCTGAATTTATTTTCCCTTGTATGGATATTTTCCTGCTATTTTTTGCTTTACACAAAGGGAACATAAGACTTCATGGTTTGCCCCCAAATGAATGCTGTTCTTTCTTGCAGTGGAAACCTTCAGAGGAACGATTTCACCTCTACGTTAGGCTGTTACACCTACACCACACACACAGGCCCTTCTAGACCCATGTTCTTGGATTCCTTGACTTTCCCACCCCATATTTTGAAAGCATTTTCCAAGCGAAAGAAAAGAGGATGATGAGCTCTTGGCATCCATTCTCTGGCTCCTATCGAAAGAAACAATGTTGCCTCCTGGCAAGGAGACGCTGCCGGACCCAGGCTAGCATTCCCCGGGCAGAACGCGGTGGGTCACACAGCCCGGACGAGTCTCTGAGGACTCAGGGTCAACTCACACAATGGTTCCTGTGGGCTGGTTAGTATGCAAGCCCCATTTTCTCTATAGAGGTTCTGTTCAGTGTCCACATTACGAAATTGCATAATAACTCCACTATCCACTTAAATGAAGGGACAATGATGTGGATAATCCCAAAATGGTGACACTACTAAGTCACTGAGATCAGGGATGAATTAAACCAATTCAACCTCTCCTCACAGGCAGACTGTTCTTTTAAACCTCGAAAGTGAAATCAAAGTAACCAAATGAGACTGAAGTATAGAGAAACTTCATATACACCACGACTCTTGCCAATAGTAGGCTGCATCTACCCACAGCCATGCACGTCTACCTGGTCCTCAGATTAACTTCTGAGCCCAGAGCAAGGAACTAGAGACAGATCTGACACGTCACCTTTCTCTTCAGAGGTCCTAGGCGGGAGGTTTTGGCGTCTTGTGCTTTGTAGGTGACCCACAGGCCACTAGCCACATGCTGGACAAAGCAGACAGAATCCCCGTACTTGATTTCTGGAATCCCCATGCCTTCCATATCGCGCTTGTGACTGGAATCCAGTTTCTCCTTGATCTCCTATTCCACACAAAGAAAGAAACACAGGCATGCCTGATTAAATAGAAATTTAGCACACAAATCATCTGTGCAGTATTCCGTAAGCCAAGATGTGATTACCAAAATAATCACGATGTACTTATCCAAGCCCACATTTTAGGAAGGCTTGCTTTTCTCATCAGCTGTTAACTTTAAAATGAATGGACTTCAAGGTTTTGCCACTTCAGTGATTATTTAAATCCTTGTGGAAAGAAGGCACTTGGACGGCTTTCTGTCTTGTTATTGTTTTATAGATTTCTTCATTATATTTTTGACGTTTCTCATCCTAACAGATATCTTAGTATGGAACCCTACACTGGCCAATTAATGTATTTTCAGCAATTGATACGTTAAATAATATTAATGGCTATTTATCTTATGTGAATACTTGGACTCAGGTTATCAGACACATATGTACATGTGTGTACATACGTAATACACGCACATACACAAATAACTGTGCATATTTCTATGTTCTATCTATATCTACACACACATGCACACAGTCTGCTATGCTTTCCAATAACACAGCATCTCACCAACCAGTCTCCTCGGACTATTCTGTGGTTTGGATCTCAAACACCCGCCCCGGGTATGTGTTTAGGACGTGGTTGCTGGTCTCTGGTCCTACATGGAGGTGGTGGGAACCTTCAGAGTAGAGCCTGAAGGGAAGAGGTCATGGGGGATGTGTGGTAAAGGTCACACCGGAGCCAGCCCCTCTTGTCACCTGGCTGCCGGGAGTCACAATCTTCCTTGGATATTAATGTGTGTTTCCTGCCAAGAAGCTTGGTCTCACCACAGGCCCGCACGCAATGAAGCCGGCATAGACCAGCACCTCTGAAACTGTGAAGGAAGACAACGCTTTTCCCTTTTAAATGCATCTGCTTCTCAAGCATTTTGTCACAATACTCAAGAAAGGCAGCTGCGGCCGCCGGTTCTGGTTAACAGGTTCATTCTTCAGCTGCCCCTATGTGACCGTTGTCCACTATGGAAAAGGGCACACTGTGAATTAGGCAGCTGTTGTCCCAGGAGCGGCTCCCTTCCCCGTCAGTCAGAGCCCTGGTGGTTTTACTCTGAATGGCTCTATTCTATTTCCATTGCTTTCTTACATCTCATGTTAACCTGCTCATCTGTAAAAGCCATTAACTCTGCAGTGTTGGGTTTGTTTTTTTCAGAAAAAAACATGGCATGCTGTTCCCACTGAGGTGGCCACATTCCTCTCATTCTTTTTTTTGGGTCCGGTCCTGGGGCCTGAACTCTGGGCCTGGGCGCTGTCCCTCAGCTCTTCAGCTCAAGGCTAGCGCTCTACCAGTTGAGCCACAGCGCCACTTCCAGTTTTTTCTGTTTATGTGATGCCCAGGGCCTCATGCATGCAAGGCAAGCGCTCTACCACTGAGCCACCTTCCCAGCCCTCCTCTCATTCTTAATGATGGAGCAATAGCAGTGCATGGATTGAGGCCCTACCATGCTCGTGCAGAGTGGTAGGTAGGTGCTTTTCAGGACCAAACCTTGGATGTGACTACTAACACTGTCCCAGTTCTACAGTTGAGAAAAGGAAGGGAGTAATTTGTCCAAGGTAACTTAAGGAATAATGTCAGCATTTAAATAAAGAATTCCAGATTGGGGCTGGGAAAATGGCTCAGTGGTAGAGTGCTTGCCTTGCATGCATGAGGCCCTGGGTTTGATTCCTCAGCACCACATAAGCAAAAAGAAAAAAAGCCGGAAGTGGCACTGTGGGTCAAGTGGTAGAGCGCTCGCCTTGAGCTGAAGAGCTGAGGGACAGCGCCCAGTCCCAGAGTTCAAGCCCCACGACCGACAAAACAAAACAAAACAAAATCCAGATTGCAGTTTATGCCTTTCCTGCTACTTTAACTTTTATTCATCACTCAAAACCCAGCTGCAATGTCATCTTCTCATTATATATTTCCCAGAATGGCCTCATTCCTATCCTGAGTGCTTAGTACATCATAATGTACACTTTCCTATCCTGAGCACTTAGTACATCATAATGTACACTTTTTTTGGGGGGGCAGGTTTTTGAATTCTAATACAGAGAATTCAACTTCCATATATATTCATTAAGAAATGTAAAATTCAAGCTCAACATGTGTTGCTTAAAGAACATACATGTATAGTGGAGGAAGTTTTTCTTTCATGCCTATTTTCTCTTTCAGTTCTTACTTCTTTCCTTCAGACTTTCATAAGAAAGTAAGTTACTTTACATACATTTTAAGAACCATTTAAATAAGGCTTTCCTGAAACAAATACCGAAGTCTGTTTTCGAGAGCCACTGAAATAAACAAATTGTCATTCTCGAGAACAGAAAGTCTCTGCGTTTTGCTTTACAAAACATCCCAGCTGCAATGGCCACTTCTAAGTTGTAAGAACAGCAACAACAAGAAAATCTGAGGGGCTGGGAAGGTGGCTCAGTGGTAGAGCGCTTGCCTTGCATGCCTGAGGCCCTGGGTTCGATTCCTCAGCACCACATAAGCAAAAAGAAAAAAAGCTGAAAGTGGCGCTGTGGCTCAAATGGTAGAGCGCTAACTTTGAGCTGAAGAGCTGAGGGACAGCGCCCAGGCCCAGAGTTCAAGTCCCATGACTGGACCCCACCCCCCAAAAAAATAAATCTGAGACCCAGGACCAAGTCAACCAGTGCTAAAGCAAGTCCACCCTCCCATACACATTATAACGATCAACAAGCAAGCAAGAGGCTGGAGCGGGAGAGCTTGATTTAGTTAGCAGTAGAGTATATATCACTGTTAATCTCCCACCACTCCGGGCCACCGGGGGAAGTGCGTAGACCCTCAGGACACAGGGCAACCAGGAGAAATGTGAAACATGGTGAGCAATAGCCTATCTTTTCAAACGCTAATCATTTCCCCACCTGCTGGCTTCATCATGCCAGTGTCACACTGAGACCCACGCGTCAGATCACAAACGAGCCCTTTGCTGCCATGTTGGCTGCTCCTGCTAGACTGAAAAGTCAAAACCAGATCTGGAGCTTGACATTTCACACATAACCTGCTTCAAACAAGTGCCAGATACTTTGCTTCTGTGTTACGGTTTCACAGGCAAGCTGTGTATCTTTATCTGCATCGGCTTTGCCTGTATTAGATGAGCAGATTTTCAGAGAAGAAACTTTTTACTTGGCCAAATATGTGTTGGAGGAATATTCCAATTCTCTGTCCACTGACAGCTGGAGGGAATCCTCAGATGCACGTCAGAAAGCCATGCCAGCATTTGGATTAGGTGATCAAGTCGCTAATCCCCAGACTGGTGTCATAAAGCCATGCCAGCATTTGGATTAGGTGATCAAGTC